GAATGTAGTGAGATTGCCGCACTGTCAGATTCATCAAATGTTTCAACACTTTCAACCACATCCAGGCCTGGTTCATCTAAATCTGATGCTTCATCAACCTTTTCTTCAAAATCTAAACATCTATTGACAGGACATTTCAAGATGTACAATCCTTTCGAAGTAAAAATTAATTTTAATTTTTATTTTTTTCTCGTGCCTTCTTGTTTTTTGAGTTATTTCGTATCTGCTCTTTATATCAAAACAAAATATAATATGTATATATATGTATATATAATATAATAATATATATAATATGTACATAATAATAAACGTATATATAAATAATAAATATAATAAATAATAAATATAATAAATATATAGAATAATAAATGTTATTTATTTTTTCAGAAGGAGGTTACAAAGCTGGTCAAATTACAAACGCTATTTTATTTATGATAGCGAAGGATAATCAGCCTTTTCAAATAGTGGAAGACGAAGGATTTCAACATTTCGTTAAAACAGCAATTCCTCTGTATAAGGTTCCTGACCGAAAATCTATCACACGTCTGATGGAAGAAAAATACGAACTATTATCCATGGTTATGAAATCGAAGCTTTCGGCTGTGGATGCAATAACGTTAACATCAGACGTCTGGACGGATACTTTGAATACTCGAAGTTATTTAGGAATGACTGCACACTTTATATCGGAGAATAAACTACAATCCGTTATGCTAGGCGTGACTCCACTCGAAGAACGACATACAGCAGATTATTTGAGCGAATGGTTGCTGAATACCTGTACCCAATGGAGAATCGCGACAGAGAAAGTTGTCGCTGTTGTAACAGACAACGGCGCAAACATACTGAAGGCAGTCACTGATAGTTTCGGAAAACACAAACACATAGGATGCTTCGCTCACACTTTGAATCTTGTTGCATCCAAGGTCATCGATGAAGAACCGATGGTTCACGCTTTGTGCGAGAAAGTAAAAGCACTTGTCACGTTTTTTAAACAATCTGTAGCAGCGGCGGATGAGCTCAGAAAATATACTAATAAAAGACTGATTCAAAGTGTTTCCACCAGATGGAATTCGACGTACTTTATGCTCGATCGATTTGTTGAAATATCAGAAAGCGTCAGCGCAGTACTGCTCAAGTTTCCAAAATCGCCTGCAATGTTATCAGCAAGTGAATTGCAGCTTGCAAGAGAGACGATCCAAATATTGAAGCCTGTCGAAAACGCATCGCGAGAAGCATGTGGCCAAACTTATGTAACGGCCAGCAGAGTCATCCCTTTAGTAAACTTCCTCAAGAATAAAATTGATACATTGGAGACGAATTTGACCACAAGCGGAGGAATTAAGTTGAGAATGCTACTTTTGGCCAATTTTGAGAAGAGATTCGGAAATGTCGAATACATTACTCTTTACGCTATTTCGACGATCTTGGATCCAAGATTCAAAAAATTGTATTTCAATAATCCACTCGCGTACTCAAGCGCTGCAAAAGATTATAAGAGAAATGAAATTGATTTCTAAAGAATCACTAAATATTCAAAATAAAGAAAACTTTACTCCAGAAAAAGAGCTCCCCAACGATGATAGTGATAGTCTCTGGTCTTACCACAAGAGCCTCCTCAGTAAACATCAGACAATTAATGAAGAAGAAATCTCTTCGAGAAATGAAATGCCGACAGACCTAAAACATTACGTTAATCAATCGACATCTAAATTAAATGATGATCCGTTGAACTACTGGAATAATAACAATATATATCCAATATTAAAAAAGGTAGCACTTCGCTACTTATCTATAGTGGCAACGTCTGTCCCGTCGGAACGGTTATTTTCCAAGGCGGATAATATTGTAACCGAACATCGAAACAGGCTTTCACCAAAACACTTACAGCAATTACTATTTCTGTCATCGCTTGCATATAAAGACTGGCTCAATGATTAATAAAGAAAATTGAAAAAGATCAATGCGTTATTTAAAGTACTTCTTACTCTTATCTTATAAAACCTACGTAACTCCTAAGGACCAGTTTCACAAGTATCGGTTAACTTTTAATCTTAGATTAACTCACTCTTTGTCTCTTTCTAAGGGGGACGTTAGAAGGAGATGAAGAGTGAGTTAATCTAAGATTAAAAGTTAACCGACACTTGTAAAACTGGGCCTAAATTACGTTTAAAAAATCGATTTTTACGAAATCGATTTTTTCCACTCCGATTTTTATGGGAATCGATTTTTACATGTACGATTTAAAATCGATTCGGAAATCGATTTTTATCATACGATTGCGAGATTGGGTTGTGGGAGAGTTACTTTGATGAAAGATGGGCATGCATGACAGGAACAAATGACGAAGTGTGGAAGGAGGTTCGGCGGGGTGCACCACAAAATCCATTGGTGTCCCAATCATCTGGGATCTACAGATGGACAGGCTCCTGTGAGAGCTCAGCGGACGAGGATGCAAGGCAACGGCGTATGCTAATGATCTGTTCGTGCCTGTCGAAGGGTAGAGCCGGGCAGATCTAGTGCGAGTGTCGGAGTAAAAGTGTCAGAGAGCAAGACAGTAATGATGTTCTTGAAAGAGAATATGTCGGGAGCGAGACACCCGAGAGTTAATGTGAATGGGAAGCATGTGAGGTATGTTAAGTGTGTGAGGTATCTGGGTGTATGGGTGGACGAACGAATGAACTTTAAGCCGCACCTGGAGTGTATGAGACAAAAGTGTGTGAGTGTGGTGGGTAAGTTGAGACGAGTGATGAGGAGCTAATGGGAATTGCGAAAAAGAGCTTGGCGTGTGTTATATAAAGGACTGTTTGCTGCGTGTGTCATGTATGGTGCGAGCGTGTGGTACGAAGCCATGAAATATGGGTACGCGTGTGAGACAATCAACAGATGCCAGAGAGGTGATGAGCGCCTGTTTGAAGGTTTGTAGAACGGTCTTCATGCAGGTATTGATGGGTGGTCTTCCGTGGGACCTGGAATGTGTAAAAAGAGGTAAGAGTGTGAGGATTAGAAATGGTTGGAGACTGAGTAAAAGTGATATCATAAGTGAAGAGGAAGTGAGTGTGAGAGGCATAGAAGATAGCATGGAATTGATGAGTGATAAGCTGTATGAAAGATGGCAGAGTAGATGGGACAATAGCGTAAAAGGACAAGTGACTTATGACTTTGTGCAGAATGTGAGGTTTGCCAAGAGATGCCTGGGATTTGAGCCGAACCTATGGCTCGGCTATATCCTAACGGGTCACGGCAGTCTGAATGAGTTTCTGTATAAAAGAGGATTGTCTGAAACTGAAAATTGTGCGTGTGGTGATGAGTGCGAGGATTGGAAGCATATGCTGGTCGAATGTGATATGTATGAGGATGTCAGGAACTTGGATGATTGGGGAGTCAGTGTGAGTGAGGATGGCAGAGTGGATGTAAGTAAAGTATTAGAGTGCAAAGAAAGATATGAGAGTTTGATCAGGTTTGCGGCATGTGTGTTTCAGAGAAGAATAAGTGGGAATGTGTGAAGTGTGCGTGACGAGTGAGGCTCACCAGTGCCAGGTCTGCAGGGGACCCTACTGGGAGTAGTCTCGGCTACGAAGATCCGACCAGTGATCTAGACTGGTACCACGGAAACCGGTGGCCCAGGGAGTTCGCTCTCGCCGGTCACGTGTAGGACCATTGTAGTGGCAGTGGTTTACAGCCAAATGCTGGCTAGAATACCCGAGTCTCGCACTTGGGTGTCCGACGGGTGAGCTGCGTCCCAACAGCTTGGGCACCAGCCTGCACAGCTGGTAGAGCGTGAATAGTCGCTCGCCCCGACCAGTGGGTTGCCGTAGGAGCCTGTCATCCTGCGGCGTACTGGTAGTACTGGACTTCGGTCGGTACGCGCTGATTAGGCGTATCCCAATCCCGTGCCCATGGGGGCCGTGTGGATAAGGCTCTACGAGCAGGTGCTGCACGCTAAACTCACGACAGTTTCTGTCCCTACCCTGGTAACCAGTCCATTGCAATTCTGCTGTAAAACTGCACGAAAAGTCGTACATTAACTTTCGGGCAAATCATGCGTTTTCTATTTCAAACTTTGACTATTTTTCTGTTGGCAAAAACTTGCTCTCGTTATAGTGCAACAGAATTGTGGAAGATATGTGTATGCATTTACATATAGCAGAATAGTGCAAGAAATGCGACAGATGCTTGCGCAAATCGCAGTGCAACATAATCGCGCCAGATTTGTAGCAGCGCCTACTGCTACCCATACAGCACAAAATATTTTTAAAATATTTTCTAGGAAGATTAAAATAACTCACAAAATATTTTTTATATTTATAGCACCGCAGTGGCGTTGGGTAAGCCTTGCGTTGTATTGCTGGCGAAGATTGTCGCGAATGTCATGATTTTGCTTCGCGCTTCGCCGGAGGCCTGCTTATATTAGATCCCAACTGAAATTTACTTGCGAGTTAGTTTTACCATTATGCGCCGCCTAGCGGCATCGTTGCAAACTAGCACATACAGCAGAATTCAACAAGAATTATGGCAGATGCTTGCGTAAGAAGTAGAGCAGCAGAAATACAAATGATTTTGGCAGAAATAGACAAAACAAGGCAAATGAGAGCTCGTTCGCGACGATGGACGGGCGACAG